GTCTGCCCCCCCCCCGCCCCTCCAGGCTACAGGAAGAGTCATAATGATCCCCTCTTCTACATCTAGACATAAAAAGTTACAATGTGCTCCTTCAAATTGGTATGACCGTCGAATGTCTCAAAGAACGGGAGATGGAAGTTTATTGGAATCGATTTCTCTTGGATTTTTTAGATGAAAGATGATTGACCCGAGGTGGGGTTAAGTAGTGTTTTACCTTTTAACTATTGGAGCTTTCGTCGTATCTCCTCCAATTATCAGTTCATCTGTCTTAATTGGATCCACATGGAGACCTTCATCAAATCTATTGATTGAGCCTCAAAAGTTGACCGGGCAAATTGAGGGTGGTGCGGTCTATTGAATTTCACATTTGAGAATCAAAGTACTCCCTCGACTAATAGTCCAATATGTCTCAAATGTTCTTGAGATGTTGACATCGTGTCAATTAGAAAATCTCAATGGGTGCTAATAATAGTAGAGTTGAGGACTGTGATTGAGCTCTTGGCATCGTTTGTCTCATGCTTGTTAGCATCTACACTTATTGAGTGAAGTTTAAGAATACCTCATGCTTGTTAGCATCTATACTTATTGAGTGAAGTTTAAGAATACCTCAACGGGGATAAGTAGATGGCTCGAGGCCATTCCTAGGGATAAGAGACCTGGGTTGTTAAATAAACATCAGTATTCCATCCGTGTTTTTGCATCAAGATGGATGCATCTATATGTGAAAAATGTGGTTGCTACCCCGCTTAGGTGAAAGTATTATGAGTTGAGAGCAAAAGCCTCTTCGTTGAGCGTTCATTGAGAGAATCGGTGAGTAAGCATTCATGCGACTTCGAGTCTTCGTTTTAACATTAAAAATGTTACAAAAAAATATTATTGACATCAGAGTCATGGTATAGACCTATGAGCGTACGGTTGTCTAATGTGCTTTTCAGGTGAAAACGTTGGACTCCTAAGATGTCACTTGGACGAGGTCGGAAGAGGTTTTTTAATATTGTTCCTCTAACACCCAAGTTAATAACTCACGATAGGTACGCGTAATCGTAAGTGATGAAAAATGATCTACTACGATCATACTAAAAATGAGCTTTTGTACTTATCATAAATATACAAGATAGCTCTTAATTACTTCTAATAATCTCCGCTTGATATTTTCTCCACACGAGCGAGCGATAGAAGAAAGATAGTCTATAATTGGACCCTTATTCTCGTTTTTTTAGTCTACACATAACATGGAGACCGCATATTATTCTCGCTGTCTCTTCCTTCCTGCAAGGATCCAACTTGTATGTTGGAAATCATATTGCGTAGCCAAAGGAATCATAATCAATGATGAAGAAATGGGCAGTGATCCTCATCGCGTAAATTTTGGTGTATTCGGCACTCCTCGATCCTTACGCAGCGTTGGCGTGACAAATAGGCCCTATAGCTCGGCCCATTTTGCTCAAAATAAGCCCAATAAGCAACTTTGCTCGCTTTCGTCACCTCATCTCATCTCACAAGTTCTCTTGTCACGCCCTCTTGATAAGGCTTCATCCCGCTACCCCTCTGACGTCAGTTTGATCTATCCGCTAGCTCGACCATGGGCACCGCCGCGCTCCTCCACCCTCTGCTCTCTCTTCCCACACCCTCTCCTCGCATCCCCAAGCCACGCGTTTGCCTGTCCTCTTCATTCCTCCCATTCGCCTCCATCTCTAGGGCTCCTCCGCTGGCGTTTGGTTCTGCAACGATTCGTCGGTGCAAGGAATCCAGGGCGGCTGTACCCAAAGCGAGCTCGGAAGAAGAGGGAGCGGTGGGAGATCTTGAGGCTGGCCCAGAGGAAGAGGGAGCCCCGGGAAACGAGACGGCGGAGGAGAACTCCGAGGATTCTGAGGCGGAAGCCGAGGAGAATCCTCCCAGGAGACCGATTATTAAGCTTGGGGATGTAATGGGGGTAAAGTTCCAGTCTTTTTCCCCTCTCTTATTTTCTTCTTCTTTTTGTGATCGATCAAATGGCTGTTCTGCTTTGGCTAAGAGCTCGTTGATTGGTGTGTTCCGATGGGTCTTGAGTTGGCAGATTCTGAACAAGAGGGCAATTGAGGCCTCGGAGAAGGAAAGGCCCGTGCCGGACATCAGGACCGGCGATATCGTAGAGATTAAACTGGTAAAGCTTAGCTCTTGTACGTTAACTTCTACTATCATTTCAAGCTTGTTGTTGGCTTCAGTCATGCGGCAACATTGACAGGAAGTCCCGGAGAATAGGCGTCGGGCGTCCATTTATAAGGGTATAGTTATTTCGAAGCAAAATGCAGGTATTCACACCACAATCCGTATCAGGAGAATTATAGCTGGCGTCGGGGTCGAGATTGTTTTCCCAGTGTAAGTTGTTTCCCCTTGAATTCCATTTTGTCATTGGTTCCAAACATGTTAGCTTTGTATGCGCCCATTGCTGGAAGAATGGGGAAGATGCATTTTCTTACTCATGACAGTGAAGCTATAATGTAATTAAACTTGTTATCAGAGAGTAACCACGAGGTTCTATCTTTAGAAAGATTATTAAATGCTTAGAATTGTTTAAATTAACCTGTTAATAGATTCCTTTATTTTTCTTTCGAGATTGATACAAAGGTCATAACCGAAGAGCAAAGATGCATGTCTGTTGTTATGTATGTTCTGTTGTATTTAGTTTCTGAGGAACCTGTCTGTCTTTGGTGGTAAAACTAGTGTTCTGTATTTTTAGATTGTCGGTTTCACTGGATGACTCGACTCTATGGGATCAAGTTACTTAAGCCTGCTGAACCTAACCTATAATATCGTTTTTTGTTCCCCCATGAAATGCAGTAGCTATTAACTCGTGGAGTGATAGCAACTTTTACCCGGAACATGACACACTGTATTTTGGGAAATGGGTTTCATCATTTTTCATAATGTCTGATAAATAGGATGACCGCTTAATGGAACGATACTAATACATTAGAAAACTTCAGTTTTAGGGTTGCGGAAGACAACAAATTCCATGTTTCTCATGATATTATATTGAGAATGTGGTGGTAAAGACTCGTTGGAAAAAAGGAACATAGTTAAGACTCCTGACGCAAGAATATTATGGTTTGTTCATACCTGAAAAAAAAATTGCTGGGACTGATGAAGATGTACTTCTCTAGTAGATCCATAGAATCAATGAAGCGGTTTTTGAAATGGCTCTATGTTAACACTGCTCTATGTTGTATTCTTCAACCTGATCACGAGGGGATTCTAGAAATTTCTGCCTAATGTTTATTTGTTGAATGCCACCTTGATTACTTAGAACGGTACATTCAAATTTTATTTTTCTTTGGTTCTTCATTCTTTCTGTTAGGACAATCTGGTTTGTGCAACAACTCTATTATCCCTTTGATGTTTCTTGTTGTGGTCAGCTATGTTTTTGTCGATGTACGAGAATCTGACTGGTTTTTCAGATCTTCTCATCCTTTTATGGGACAACCACACAATTACAATAGGAACTTTCCATCAGTCTGACAGGAAGTCTTGCTTCAAGAGGACCGGAAGAGTTCCTTTTTTCTTCCTACTAGATGATAACTTTTTATGATATTTTAAATCATCTTTTTCGGTTTTGTTCTATTTTCATAGTTGTTGACTTGGTGAAGTCGATGAATGTGTCACATTCTTTCTTCCCCATGTGTCCATGAGTGACTGCAAATCCATCGAGAACAATCATTGGGAAGCTTTAAACATAAATCCTGCAACAAATTTTTGAGAAACTTGCTGACTAGGTCTTTGCCAGCCTTTGATTTTCCTCTTGCACAGTTGATTGTATTTGTTATGCTATGTACTATGTAGTTGTAGTATATCCAGCATTGCGACAAATGCAAAAGAAACAGTGACTAATCCTTGTTTCTGTTTCAGGTACTCACCTAACATCAAGGAGATCAAAGTTGTGAGCCACAGGAAGGTACGAAGGGCAAGGCTGTACTACTTGAGGGACAAGCTTCCCCGTCTTTCAACCTTCAAGTAAATGGCCATAACACTGTGTTGCGTTCCAGCTGCAGACTATATTACCCATACCCTTTGGATGAGGCAGTGTAACTATCTGCCATTGTAAAAGGTTACAGAATCCTAAATTTCCCAGTTCTTCTTCAATTCCTTTGGAACTTGATTTTTGTCATGTCCTCCGATGCTGCATTCTAGGCTTTTAATGTTCAGCACCAAAGAATGGAGAATCTGACGTACTGATACACTTGTATTTCCAATTTGTTTGTCTCTTGTTTATCATTACTCTTATGCTGGTTGTGCAATCCTGTTTCTGATCTCTTTTGACAATAGAAATTATGACAATATTACATCAAAAGCTATTGGACGATTTTCTGGATAAAGTTACTTTTGTTTTCTTTTTTAGGTACGTCTCCTCTGGTTTTCCACTTCATTGCTTGCATAGTGTGACGATTTTGCTGCTTCTTTTTATCGTCCGTCCTTTGTGGTGCGACTGCGATCTTTATCTTTAATCGCAAGAAACATATTTTGTTATAGATCTTTGTGTGATGCGTTTTAATTCCATGAATGGCGACAATTTCGACCGCCGCTGCATCAAGAGAATGAATGAGGACCAAAAGTGTTGCAATTGAAGGGAACAGCTAAAAGCAAGAAAAGGGCAACAAAGGTTGATTAGTGTGTAACAAAACTAGTTGTCATGTGAAAGGAGAACACGATAAGTCTCTTTTCACAATCAGTGCGCATGCAGAATTTAAACCGGGTTAGATCTATTATGACAAACATGTCCCGTAAGCAAGTGGCAAAGCCTGACATGTCTCAAAAATACCCAGAAAAATCTTGTTCTCATTATGCTTAAGCTAATATGTAAGACTCTCATCACGGGGAGGATCAGTACAAGCAATCTCAGGGGGTACAAGTATGCTTCGAGTACAGAAACACACGGATTGCAAAGGAGAACAGACATGTAAATACACTGATAGCAATTCGGTCAGATCTGACTAATTTCACCAACACAAAGAAACATATAGTGATAAAGCTGCAGAAAAGAAAATTCTAGTCTACGATCGCAGAGCACCAAAGTAATAATTATGCCAGGCAGGTGTAGCAGTGAAAAGGCAGACAGCAAATAGCTCTAACGAGCAAAAAAAGAGTTGGAAGTGGGAATCCACAACCATATTATGACAATCTCAAGTTGACTCACCAACTTGGTTAACTAAGGAAAAGTCAAAACTTAAACTTAGAAGCAATAATACATCATCTCTACTCGTAAATCCAAGGGTGGAGGTTGCTCTGCCACTGAGCAATGCCTTCAGGAAACCACAAAGCGATCTCCTTCCTTGCACTCTCAATCGAATCACTCCCGTGAATGACATTCCTGAATAAAAGCAAAATGTTAGGTGACTTTTACATGTTAAATTTACAAGTCATGAAAACTATTGCCATTTGCTTCTTGACAGCATTACATCGAATAAAAAAAGTAGTGCAACATATCCTCTTTTGGAAAAGAAGAAACATATGATAAGAGAAGCATCAAAACAGCTTCTCAAAGCATAGTGACTTTTTTTCTTTTACAAAATATACCTTTAACTAATGTACTTCTATCCAGCAACCAAGAGTGAGAGTCTAATTATATAACTTTCTTTCTAAATCACAAGAGGAAACAGGTAGCAACCAACACGGCATCACCGATATGATATGAAAATAACAAGCACTGGAATCTTACCGTGCATGTCATACACAAGGAGCTTAAGCACATTTAAAATACAAGTTTGAACATATATATTGAAGGCCTACACAATTTCGTTTGTTGGATTCAATAGATGCCCTTCATATATGTCTTTTCACGTTAATGAACTCATCATTTCCCTATTTTGCAAATCTTGGATGCCTTTCTATCCTAGCCCCCTCCTCTATGATCTTGAGGGGTTGACCCCTTTAAACTTGTAGAATTCTGACCTCCAAAGGCATCAATCACAACACAGAGCCACCACTTTTAACATATCTAGTTAATCTTGCCCTTTCACTTGGCTCCAATCGAGAAGCAGAGACATGGCATTTTCACTTAGCACTAAAGAGATGGGAAACTATGACATGTAAACCATGTCATTTAGGTCACTTGAGTATGTAAAGCCAAAATTAACTAGCCACAGTCCAGCCAAACATCCTACTCTAAGAAATTTCTTCCGGAGGAAGCCAATCATACATGGTCAACAAAAGAATAGAATGATTGCAAATTCTTATTTGATCACTTATTAGGGAGAGAAATAGGCAGCATCCTAGAATGCACTTGATGCTGCTAAAGCTGAGGCATCTTCTCCTTGTTTCATAACATTAGACTTATGGCTTTGATACTGGATCTTGATAGACAAAGGAAATTAACCCAATTAAAGCTATTTATGCTTCAGATAACAAAGACAAAAATTGGCAGATATATCACCTGCCCATCACAATCGCATAATCCCCACGGATGGTTCCGGGGGAGGAATCCGACGGGTTGGTGGCACCAATGATCTTGCGGCCAGTGACAACCACATTCTTCCCCTCCCACACCATGGCAACCACGGGGCCGGAGATGATGTACTCCACCAGCCCAGGAAAGAAGGGCTTCGCGGAGAGGTCAGCATAGTGCGTCTGGGCGAAGGAGCGATCCACGTTCATCATCTTCAATCCTGATTGATCCATAGCACCAAAACACACCCCAAAAAAAAACATAATAATCTATCTTTTCTACTCCAAGGTACCGTCCAATAACACAGGAGAGCCAAAGTCCTCACCTTTCAAGTAGAAACCCTTCTTCTCGAACCGGCTAATGATTTCCCCAACCTGATTGAGTAACCGAAGTACAAGTCATTACGTACCGATCTACGATTGGATTACACTAAGAGAGAGAGAGAGAGAGAGAGAGAGAGAGAGAGAGAGAGAGAGAGAGAGAGA